CCAGCACAATTAGTAGTCCCCTCCCAAACACCATGCCCCTCTCCCCGTTTCAATGGCAGCCGAAGCAGCAGCAAAGCAGAGGCTGACACTAAGAGACTTTAGTCTGTGATCATCTAGAAAGGTTTATTCATTACAACAGTTGAAGCATTTCCCTCCCTCCTGTTCTCATACTCACTTGCTCTGCTATAAGGATGGCCAGGTAGGTGCACAGGTAGTGGACAATGCAACCTCTGGGCTTCAGGATGGACAGGCTGGGCTCACCTGGAGCTGCTCTCCCCGACTGATAGGCTGCCCATGGAAGGGCCACAAACACCGCAGGTGACCACAATGGGAGAGCTGCAGCCATTCTTCCCCTTGCATCAGTCTGTGGCTTTCTCCAGCAGGGGGGAAAAGAGGGGAGGTGGGCTCTGTATTCCATGGCCCCCTGGGCTCAGGACCGATAGGCCCCTTTATCTGGAAATGGTTTGCGAGGGAAGAGTTCTATTTAGGAGATGTTGGCTTTGGATTCTGTTCTGACTCAGCGAGGACCATCCAGAGGGGAGATTTCTCCTGCCGAGACATTTCTCCACCCAGGTCCAAATCTTGGTGTTGAAAAAAAAGAGAGGGATTTTTGTGGAATCCAGTTGATTTGCTACTGCTTAAAGTGCTTGTTCATTGTGGCCTCGCTGGTTGGTTAGGATCTTGGAGGACTTCCAAAACTGTGCTGTGTCATAGATCTTCTCCAAGAAGTGATACCTTCAGCCCATCTCTGCAACAGGGTTTGGGAAAGCCATGAGGCATCACGAGAAAAAGAGTCCCAGCACCCTGTCCCAGATCTTCTTGGTCCGTAGGCCGTAGATGATGGGGTTCAGCGCTGGTGGAACTATCAGGTAGACGTTGGCAATGAGGATGTGGACAGAATGAGGGACCTTGTGGCCAAAGCGGAGGGTGAGGAAGGAGAAGACAGCTGTTATGTAGAAGATGAGCATGAGGCAGATGTGAGAGCTGCAGGTGCCCAGGGCCTTGAGGCCGGCTTCTCTGGAGGGCAAATGGCAGACTGTCTGCAGGATCAGGCCATAGGAGAGGCCGATGAAGCAGACATCGAAGCCCCCGATCAGGAAGGCCAAGGTGAGGCTGTAGCCCCCACTGGCCGCTGTGTCCGCACAAGCCAGCTTCAGAAGAGCCATGAACTCGCAGTAGCTGTGGGCGATGACCTTGGACTTGCAGAAGGGCAGCCGCCCCACCAGGAACGGGTGTGGGAGGAACAGCACCAGCCCCCGAGCCACCACGGCCAGCCCCACCTTGGCCAGGAGGGCGTTGGTGAGGACAGTGGTGTGGTGCAGGGGCTGGCAAATGGCCATGTAGCGGTCGTAGGCCATGGCCAGGAAGAAGCCAGACTCCATGGCAGTGAAGGAGTGGATGAAGAACATCTGGGCCAGGCAGGCGTGGAAGCCGATGCCCTTCCTGCCAAACCAGAGGATGGCGAGCAGCTTGGGCAGGGCAGAGGAGGAGAGCACCAGGTCCGTGAGGGAGAGCATGCCCAGGAAGAGGTACATGGAGGCTGGGCTCCGTCTTGATCACCAGCAGGAGGCCAACGTTGCCCAGAAGAGCCACCAGGTACATGGAGCAGAAAGGGATGGAGAGCCAGCTGTGCAGGGACTCCAGCCCTGGGAGGCCCAGGAGGGTGAAGGCATCGTGGAGCATGGCTGTGTCATTCACAGGGGCACCAGAGATGATGTGCTGCATGATGCACCTTCATCTGCAGAGCCTTGTCAGTCAAAGTGACCCTTTGGGCAGAAGGAAAGGAGATTACATCGGGGGAGGGGAACATGGAGGATGAAGAGGACTTTGGCCATGACTGTGGACATAGCAACGTCTCTGTGACATTGTAGCCCATCTGTGGGGTTAAAATAGGAAGGAGAATGAGATGGAGATGGAAATATGAAAATGGAGGCAGAGAGGTGGACATGGTGATGGAGATGAAGAGATGGAGATGATGTTGGATAGATAGAGATGGAGATGGAGATGGAAATATGAAGATGGCGACATGGATGGAGAGGAAGAGGGAGAGGGAGAGACAGAGACGGAGAGAGAGAGAAAGAGACAGAGACGGAGACAATGATAGAAAGTGAGAGAGATAATTGAAAGTAGAGTCCATGGAGGATGAAGAGGATTTTGGTCATGACTGTGGACATAGCAACGTCTCTGTGACATTGTAGCCCATCTGTGGGGTTAAAATAGGTAGGAGAATGAGATGGAGATGGAAATATGAAAATGGAGACAGAGAGGTGGACATGGTGATGGAGATGGAGAGATGGAGATGATGTTGGATAGATAGAGATGGAGATGGAGATGGAAATATGAAGATGGCGACATGGATGGAGAGGAAGAGGGAGAGGGAGAGACAGAGACGGAGA